TTTTCTTACATATGCTGCAGACATCAGCCAAATGCATTTCTTTCTGAGACAGAATCAAAAACAAGCCAGAGAGATGGAGCTGAACAGATAGTTTGCTCCAGACCCAACCCGTCCTTTTTCCCCCTCCTAATATTTTCATTGCAGTGAGGAAGAAATACGGCTCTGCCAGGCTGCCTATTGAACTATCTGCTGCAGCTTAACTGCAGCAAGGAAGCAGTAATCCTATTGTGCTCCTCCAGCAGTCTCCTGGGAAGCAGAAGGCATTGAAATTACTGAGCTGTTGTCCTATCCCCTCCTCACCTGTCTTTGCAGCTGTAAATATAGTGTCTGCCTGTAAATAACAGTTTGCTGCACCTTTAAGCACGTTCCCTAACAAGAGGCGGTGATTTACCGAGGTGATAAGCTGTAACTAATACTAGGGTATCATAATAGGTAAATAGATTAGCAGCATGCTCCTCTGTATTTTGCTTTCTAGGGAGCCGGCCGGCTCGTTTGCGCAGCGCTGCTTACGGCAGCACCGGGCGATCGCTGGGGTAAATCCCCGGCGCCGGGATCGCCGCCGCTGCTGGGGCCGCAGGCAGCGAGGGAAATGCCCCAGTGCGTCCGAGGGGCAGCGCCTGCTGGGTCGCCTGCGTCCTTCCCTTCCCTCCCCAACAAGGGCTGCAATGGGCTATGCCCGGCGTTGGGCCCCGGGCTGAGCGCCGCCACCCATCACGTACTCGTGGGTGTGAGAATGCAGGAGCACTAGCAGCATCTGTAGTCGGGATGTAAGAGGCCAAGCATCTGTCCGGGCTTTATCCACGGATTTTCCTCATCTTGAGCTCCTTGTTTTTTTGCATTCTGAAGAGTCTGGTGTTTTCTGAAGGCGGTTGATTTTAATTAGCCAAAGCGCTGCTGCTTGGCCCCATCTTAATGACTTAACCCGCTCCATGCGAGTGCAGAGCCCTCTGCCCCGCTCCCCTCGGGGTGGCTCCGCTGCCCATCGCGGTCCTCGCCAACACCGGCTTCTGCACCCGTGCACTTCGGGCTTAGAAACACACAGAGATCCCATCAAACGCGCTGCGGAGGGTTCGGTGGAAATCTTTTCTTCTCCTTTTTTTCTTATCCCGTATAACAGTTTTTCAGCACAAAAGGACCCTAACAGGAAATGAACAATATCAGGGGATGTTGCCAATTCTAATAATTGTGTCGCAAATCTTGTGATATTTGGCAAGTTCTTAAAGACCTGGCTCCTAGAGGCAAGGGATTAAATAACAATTGCTTCCTTTCTCTTTCAAGCAAAGCTCAGCTCTGTGGTTGCACAGAAATGCTTGAAATGTGACTCAAGCTGAAGGAAAAGACATTCTCGGCCTTCCCTCCTGCCCCCGAGCTCCCAGCGTATGTGCTGTCAAGTTGTTTTATGATTTTTAAATGAAAGTGTTTAAAACTGTAGGAGACATCCAGAAGGTCACCAGGTGTGGCCAGCTCTGTGCGTGTGTATCTGTAAGTGTTTTTAAGGAGAAGCTGGTTGTGTTTTGCACTCGGACGCGCTCGCGCGCTATCGCTCCTTGCTGGAGAGGCAAACGGGCTGGGTGGCAGGAAGCTGAACACCTCCGGACGGATATTTTCTCACTTCCTCTGGAAACCCCTTTGGCTCCTTATGATTGAAATTTCTCCTATTTATAATTTTTCTGTTTTTCTCCATTCCATAAATGCAAAGACCGCAGCTGCTCACTTCACTGTTGGTTGCTTTAAACGTGGTTGTTGTTAGCAAATCGGTATTGATTGATTCCTATAAAAATGCATCCATGTTTAAAGGAAAATGCAATCCCATTAATGGCACAGGTTTTGCAAATGGAGAAAAGTAGGTCAAATACTGCACCAATCAACCCCGAGTGTGTCCCTTTAAGCCAAGTAAATGTGTGAATACACTTAAACTGTCAGCATGTCACTGGATTGCCATTATTATGCATCTTTGGCATGAGCTGGCAAAGATCTCCGTGAGTGAACAGGGCATGGAGGTGTCAGTCGGGGTATATTCCCTAGGCTGCGTTTTACACTCGTGCGGCCAGAGGGTGCGTCCTGAAGGATTTTTGTTCCCCCGTTGCAGGAGTTGCCTTGGAGCTCAGCAGGGAGGCCCCGCTGGTGCGCGCGAGGGGCGCCGTGGCCGGGCAGCACGGGAGCACGGGCTCCGTCCGAGCATCGAACCGCCGCAGCGAGAGGCTGCGCGAGACGGTGCGGATGGTCCATCTGCAAAGTCTGTGCTCCTGTTGTACGGGGAGGAGGGGCGGAGGGGGAGGAAAGCAGCTGCTTGGCTGTGCTGCGAGAGGGGGAGACTGACTGTTGGCACCATCTGTAGCTGTCCTTTGTGCTTGCTGCTTTATCTGTTCATTATAGCATGGCACTGAATTTCTCGTGCTTTGAGTGTAAATGAGTTGAGATATGCCTAATACCGTCAGCATAAAAAGCAGTAACTAAGTACACTAAAGATGAATAGTGTAATCTGTAAATTCATTTTGAGTTTGTTTCATCTGACTTGAATAGCACAGGAAGTAATGTTCTGCAGACCCAGCTGTGCCAGATGTGCGCATGGTGCATGCTCATCCCCCGCGCGGGGGGCGAGCCGGCACAGTGGAGGTGGATGGGGCGACAGCAGGGAGGGATGGAGGGCTGGATGTTGCAGCCCGGGCACGGCTCGCTCCAGCCGCGGGAGGCGCAGGGACGCGCGGAGCTGCTGGAGCTGGCGCCGAGCTCCTCGGTTTGCATTCCCTGCACAAACAGCAACGCGGGCAGGGGAGCAATGATCGTACACAGTACACGCACCGAAGCGTCCTGGGGGAGGAAAGGTTAAACCTCTCAGTAATGAGTGCTCTGATAAGGATGGGTAAATTTGTTGTGTTTTATACCTGCGGTCTCTTAGTTTCTAAAAACATGAGTGCTCTGCAGGTAACTTGCAGATTGTAACTGCCTACTTAGCACGAGGGCCTCTTTGTTCCTCGGCAGTTTATGTTTCGCCTCCATAAACGTGTGTGAGGCATAACAATAACTCAGTAATATCTTTTCCTGTCCGCGCTTCGCCCAGGCTGTGCTGTCTCACTGGCCTGCCCTCTCCGGCGGTTGCGCTGCGCTCTCGAAGCCGGCATGGCGTTTGTTCACAGGCTCGCGGCCTCGGACCCGTTCGGCTTTTGCTTTTTATCGCATTAGCCCCGAGCTCAGCCCGCTCGCTCCGCGGCGCCCGGGGCCTTCCCGCCCGCGGAGCCTTCCGAGGCGGGAGGAGGGGGCCTCGCAGCCTGGCGCCCTGGTAATGATATGCCAGGGATAAAAGGTGAGTATAATTTGATCAAATGCTTGTTGACAGATTCCTCAGCTAATAGAGAAGCAGCTCAGCCTGGCACTCGTTGCTGGAGCGTTTCGCAGAGCCCGAGGGGGCGCTTCCCCCGGCGCTTCCTGCGGCCTCCAGGGAGGCCGGCAATTTCAGCGTGACCCTGTTTAGCTCCGTAAGGAAGCGCTGCCCCGGTTTTTTTCATGGCAGAGCACTAAAATGCTTCCCTAAGCACCACTCTTGCCCTTCTACCTGATAAATGCAATAAAATCACTACATCTCCTTTGCCCAAATGGGTGATTAATTCACAAGAATGCTGTGGGCTTTGATATTTTTCTTGTGTCACCATTAAGCATCTAAAAAATTCCAGTTGTTTCTTCTAATCCTGAAAAAAAATATATTTGTGAGTATTCTTAATTTTTTTCTGAAGCTATGGCTTTACAATTATTCCCTTTGGAATTTGTTCTAATAATTATCTGCTAAGAGATGCCTTTGAGTATCACCTGGAAATAGAAGGTGGTGTAGCCAGAAATGATGCTTTGTTACTGCTTATGATTATGGGGTTAGATTAAAACACAATATTAGAAAAAACACATGTTGAAAATAAAGGTTCCGATTTTAGAGAATTCTGCACTTGTCTTGTTCAAACAGGCAAAGCCTAAAATGACATTTTTAGAACTTTCCTACATTAAGGCAATCTGGCAGTTTGCTTTTTGAGTGGTCTTCTGGTTCTCACCTTCTAACACAGCCTGATTTGCTTTGGATCCTAACACCTCCAGAAGGTGCTTGCCTAAAGAATTAGATACGAAGCATTTCACTGTTAGGAAGTTTCTGCAAAACATACATGAAGGAAGGAGAAACCCCAAGCGCTTGCGGACGTTACTCCAGCGCGGCACTTTGCAATTGTCGTCCACTGTGTTGCAGGGAAGGGATTCCCCACGTTTTCCAGGGAAAACGGACCCTCTCGTGTCTTCAGAGGGAGCTGTGAGCCATTGGTCTCCCTGGGAAATCTGCCCATTGGAACTTCTAAAAAGGGTTTTCTGTAAGCGCAGTCATGCCCTCACTGACCACAAGATTGGTCACGTAATGGAAATGCACATTTAGGGGTTATGCTGGTTCAAATATAGATTTAAGTGCCTAGCTTTATATCTGTGCCTTTGGGTGGACATGTTATCTTGTTTGTGTGTTCAAGGCTGGCAGCTAATAGCAGTTTTGGAAATGTATTTCAGCACGTGGGTTTCTTATGTTTTCTCCAATTAAGCTATTACACAAAATAGCGAAACCAAAAATAAATCTCCTTGTTCTCTGTTCCCTTTCGCAAGTGATGTTTTCTGTATGGTTTTGTTATGTTTCTATCAGAGTGAAAGGAATTCTTCTGCATCTTTTGTCATTCGTAGCAGCTATCCCACGACCTGTCCCTCACCCATTCCTCAGCTCAGCTCGGACAAGTCCTCTTGTCCCTCCTGGGCTGTGCAGAATGTCTGCAACTTGTGTAAAAACATAATAATGATAGTGTAGGGCAATTACAGCCTCAATTTGAGAGGATAATAGTGTGAGTGGTGGCTCGTGGACAGACTCTTCGCTCGGGGTGGGGTTGTGTGTTCAGTTTGTGACTCCTGGAGTTGCTGTCGCTTGCGCCCGCGCTCGGCCGTGCCGGGTGTTCAGCTGAGCGCTCACTGTCCTTGTGTTCCCTTTGCACAGCACTGCTCTCGTCGTGGTGTGAGGAGCTGGGACGGCTCTTGCTGCTTCGCCACCAGAAAAGCCGGCAGAACGATCCTCCAGGGAAGCTACCCATGCAACCCCCCATGAACTCTATGAGCTCCATGAAACCCACCCTCTCTCATAGGTGAGTGAAGCATCTACACATGGGTCACCTGACAGAGCTTTTGACTGACACGCTTATTACCGCCCAGAGAGATAGCTACACCATTTTGCACACAGAACAGCACTATAGATAACAGGAGATCTTTAATTGCAGTTATTGCAATGCACTAAATATGTTTGGTTTCTATCTTTGCTGTTACCCAGTACATAATGAAAAGATACATCCATCTCCAGGTCGTGTTCGGATCTAGCAAACTCACCTTTCAAACTGAAGGCTGTGCCCTAAGCAAAGAGTTCTACAACATATCTCTCACCAGGCGTTTTCCTGCTGTTCATTTAAGGGACTTTTGTTGAGGTTGAAAGCATTTCACTGATGTTCTGTTTTGTAAGTTGCATTAGAAATGCTATGCTAGAGCAAAGCAGTTGTATACTGGACATAGCCACAAACAGCCTATTCCTTCTGTCAGGTTTGGGTCACAAAACGGTTATGTTCCTTGAGATAAAAAGGCATGAAAGGGTCCCAAGAAGAAACTAAATAGATATGAAACCTCTGATTACTGCTTTGCATGTGGAAGCAGCAGTTACATGCCTTCCTAGGTCAAGGCAGAAGCTGGAGAATAGGTACAGACAAGGTCAGACATTAATTTCATACTTTTTTGGAAGTATGTTTTCAAGTTTTACTTAGCTTCAACATCCCATTAAAGCTCACAGTAACATAAATTGGTTTTTAGGCAAAATGTTGGGTACTTTTCCTAGTAAAGGATTTATAACACCTTGATGATGAGGCTAACTGTTCATTTAGCTTCCCTATACCTAGATGTGATGATAGTACTGTGAATGAGTGATGACAGCACGCTCTGCATGCTCACGTTAGAGTGGAGTTTAAGGATTTGACTCATCTATGTACCAGTACATTCAGATATGGGAATTCTGTTCTTGAAAACACTTTCTTTTCCCTCCTCCTCCCCTGTATTTTTGTCCTGTGTATAGGAAAATCATGGGACCTCAATGCCTTTTATTATAGTCCTTGAGAAGAAAATCATTTTCTCATGTAACTAACCTAACAGGCTTTTTAGAGTACGTGTGTTGCCCGTTTTTATAATTGCTTATGAAATGGTTGGGTATAAACATGCTTCATAAAAATAAGAAAACTTTTACCGAAGAAGATGCTGGAAGCCAGTTCTAAGTTCTGTGAGCTACCCCTCTAGCAACGTTATGTCTGTGGTGTAGCTCCTTATCTACAGCAGCTGCAGGAGCATCCTGGGGGCTTGGAACACTTGCTAACTATGGAGCTGCTTCCATGTGAGCTGCTGCCTCATCTGTAATTTGGGCCATACCTGGCTGCTTCACATGGTCTCAGGGGGTGCATTACAATGAGACATCTTGTCGCACTCTGACTGTTTTCCAGCTGTGTTCATGGATGTTTTTAATGGTCCTATAAGGCAACAGAGAAGTACAGGGTGGGGAAGAACTGAGGTTTTTTGTTTGTTTGAATAAAATAGAAGATGAAGAGCTATTAAGTGTAATCCCAATGATAAAGTTGTTTATGAAGCAACATTTGTATCTGCATTAGATTATGCTTGGGTCAAAACCTTAATGTTAAAAGTTCACAGCATCTCAAAGCTTACCTCTACAAGGCTTTTATATGAATCCAAACCAGAAAAAAATGTATGTTGTGTATTTCCTACATGACGTTAAGGTTTCCAGCTGCTTTGTAAAAGCATGATATGTGTGGTTAGAAGAGAGCTTACACAGGTGCCTTGTGTAGATTAACAAAGGGAATATATGATATATGCCAGTTGCGGAATATTACTGGATGAGAAAAACACTTCCTCTGCAGCCAGGCTATCTTGAAGTATTTAAGACAGGGATTTTTCTGCTGTTGCTTGTAAATGAAATTACTATGAACTTAGTTATGGACTAGAATCTCATTATATTGCACACTACAGCAACACAGCCACATCGTGTCCAAGCTGAAACTCGTCTCAGCTAGTTATAATAAATTCTGACTCAAGCATGTATCACAATAAGGTGAGTCTAAGAATTCAGATTTACGGCACAGTAGACATGTACATTGGAAGGAATTCAGGATTTTTTTGTATTTTGGAAAAGTAAATTGAGTTGAGGAGAGCACTGAAGTAGACAGTTCAGCAACGGCTCTGACAGTGATGCTGTTGGTCATACATACTTGTGGAGAGCAGGATATATGGCATATAGGGATTTGCACGCTCACACAAAATGCTGGTACAGTTAGAAACTGTTGTGTGCTGATCTGTTTTTTTAATTCAGTGTTTTTCATTAACAATAGATGATCAAGTGTTAGATCAGTCTGTGCGTTGCATACATGACACAGTATGCAGTGAAGCAGCCCTGAAGCGAGCGAGAGGATCCCGTTCTCTGTATGCTAACGCCAGGTGGGTGGTTGGGCCGTGAGCTCCTTGGGATGGATGCCGTGCTTGGCATGTGGCAGCTGTGCCCTGTGAGCACAGTGGATGTCCCAAGGAGCAACTCGGGCCTTCTCGCTGCTCAAGTCAGAGCAGTGCAGTAATAGCTCAAAGCTTTTACAGATACGTATGGCAAAATTTATTCCTGTGCTGAGGACCAGTATGAGACCTGTCCACCTCCTAAACCCTGTATAGTGTCTAATTTAAGTCCTACTTAAAGGATTTACAGGGGACTTAAGGAGAGTCTGTAGTCTTTGGGCTGGCCTTCTGCGTAGGGATGGAATTTCATGCTGTTGGACTCATAGAGAATAGTCTAACTTCTTTGTGTTATCTTTTCAAATCTGTAATAATGTCTATAATAGCAGGTAATAGTCAAGGGGGTTGACTTTTACTTAATATTTATAAGGTACTTTAAGGTGTCTGGCAAACAGTGTTACGGGAAGTACAAATTATTGTCATTTTAATGCTTTCTTTTACTTTGATCAAGTTCCCACTTAGCACTTTATTGCATTGCGTGGTGGATCTTATTGCATGTGAATCAGATTGAATCTTGGTTCAAAGGGGAACAGTTCTTGTCAAACATGATGGGAATTGCACCCAAACTCAGGTTAAGATGGATCAGACCCATCCAGATGCTAGGGGCCTTGTCATCACTTAAGTAGCTGGTAATAATGCTTATTTTGTGGATGTGAACACCTGAAAATGCACGGCTGTTTGCTGTAGTCTGGTGTGTTTTCACGGGTGTTCTTTGGGTTTGTATTGTCTTCTCCCCCCTACGAATGTTGGTCTACCCTGTTAGTTACTCGGCAGCTGTCTTGTAACTAGTGACTGAATAATGCTCATTTCTGCATAGGGCAGTCGAGATTGGTTGAAGTACAAAGATAAAGTTGTTTTAATACAGATTACTTTGTGTTAGAGGTTTTGATTAACAGTAGATCAAATTAACTAGTAATATAATAGCAGGTAGTTTACTTGTCATTATTGTTTTATGTGCAGGTAATTGCTATAAATATCACTTATTGGTTAGACTTGCTTTACAAAGGTGCCTGTTGTTAGAGTTGGCTGTGTCCCTTACCTTGCCATTTAAACATAGCTAACAGATGTCTGTATGGTATTGGTAGGAGCTCCAGGAAGAGAATTACCCTTCTGCATCTGTATCTTTACTAGATACTTCGGACCTTCTCCTGTGTGTGGTTTGTTACAAACCAATCATCCTGCTCTAACAGGCGGGTAGAAACTTTTTCCAAGTTTTTCACTACCTTTTCAGTTTTGCCATCATAGGCAGTTTTGTGCGGCAGCGATAGTGGGTTTTACAGTGCCTGGATCGGGGAAATGGCTAAAGGGAAGGGTCGGGGCAGCGCGCAGTCCGTTAGGAGGACAAGGAGTTGTGTGTGTTCCGCACGGCAGTGTGCGGACGCGCGTCCCGTCACTGCTGCACGTGCTCAACAGGAACAGCCTTGGCAGAAGAATCCACCACCACCACCAAGGGGAAAAATCAGATTGGTTCTAAGTCTTTTCATCTTATTGTCTGTGAAACTGCAAAATAAATGTAATTAAGCACTGAACAGACGGTAAATCCTAATCTAAGAGAATATACCCAGTAAAGCAACCTATATTACTCCAGATTTTGCAAGAGTAGTCTCTTATGTCTTCTGTCCTTCAAACCAAGGAGAAGGGTTAAAATCCACCACCAGGAGGAGGGGAGAGAAAGAAAAAAAAAAGGAAAAGTTCAGAATCAACAAAAATCCTGAAAAAAGCACTGCATAAAGGAAAACCAGCACAAAGCTTGTTCAGAAGAGTGTTAAGTAAGGCCAGCTCCATAGGCTATAAGCATAGTAAAGACAAAATCGTGATGACTTGAGAATACTTTCCCAAGGCTCTCTGTCCACCTTACCCACTGTTAGTATTAGATTCAGCATACGCTGTTTTGGGGGAAGAAGCGAAGGGAAAGCTTGAAAGAACATTGGAGCAAAAAGCTCCAAGATCGGTACTCTCTAGTTGAAAACTGTGTGAAACCACTAGGCTTTAGTAATTATACTTGGATCCCTTTTATGAAAAAGCTTTGCATTTCATTTTAGGCGGGGTAATTTCGTGGTAAGTCCTTGTGGCAAAAGGAGAGGCCGAGAGACATAAACTCTGAAAACAATAATGGGCAGTTTAAATTCTCATCTAATATATATTCTTCATGTGCTGTGTCAGAGGTTTAGGGTAAGGATGATCTTTTGACCATACTGTGTGTACAGTGCCTTGCACATGTGTGAAAACAGGGCTTCTGTACTGATTACAGAGTCAGGGTACTGCTGCAGTAGGTACCACAAACTGCTAATATACTTGGAGTTGTTGTCTAGTACATGTAAGTGTGATATATGCTTTTTTGTTTTTCTTTGCTTGTTTTGTTTTCTCTAAACTTTGTATATAATAGATAAAAAGTTTACGGTCAGTCTTTTGAAATTTTGTTTTTATCAAAAAGTATCAGCTAATATTTTAAAAATCACAATAAGGACCAGGCAAATACTGTTTAAAGTATGTTTTCTGACTGAAGCAAAATCAGCCTTCTCAGGCTTTGCACTGTCTATAA